CAGCCACAAACTGCAAAAAAAAAAAAAAAAAGTAAACAAATGATTGCAAGGCATGTGATGGCAGCAGACAGTGAAAGGGGTGTTCCAGGTTGAGGGAGCCCTCCGGAGTCATCTACTATCCTATCAGTTTCTGTCCTTTTAGGGACTAGCATTCTATCTTAGAGGCCTCATTCTAGTGGGGGTGGCTTTAGTCAGATGAGAGACCCAGTGGGCAGGTGCATCAATCCACTGTTCCTCCTCACACCTGCAGCACAACTGGCTGCAGCTATCTCCTGGCTTTGATCACAGGAAGGTCTTTGTGTTCTGCTTTCCAGAGTTTATGAAAATTTCACTTATTTGTGAAATCCAAACCCACTTCTGTTTATTCATTCCCCTAATGGCCCATAATCACATCCCACCTGTTAGGAAAAAGCAGGTCCTTAGTCCTGGAGTCTAAGCCTCTTTGGCCTCTGGGTTAGATTTTTTTGTTGTTGTTTTTTATTTTTGAGACAGTCTCACTTCATTGCTCTCGGTAGAGTGCCATAGCGTCACAGCAAACTCAAACTCTTGGGCTTAAGCGATCGTCTTGTCTCAGCCTCTCAAGTAGGTGGAACTACAGGCACGCGCCACAACACCCAGCTGTTTTTAGAGACGAGGTCTTGCTGTGGCTCAGGCTGGTCTGAAACTCCTGAGCTCAGGCAATCCACCTGCCTCAGCTTCCCAGAGTGCTAGAATTACCGGCGTGAGCTATCGTGCCCAGCTCTGGGTTGGGTTCTTGATACTCTTGGCTTGCTCATTTGTCCTCCTTCCAGACCCTAGGATTTTGTGTAGCAGCTACTTGGCTGACAACAGCTCTGGGTTTCCCGCACATTCTAGCCACATGTCCTTGGGGCAATCACTAAACCTCTTAAGTTGTCAGGGTTAAGTAGCACAGTAAATAGAATGTTTGGTCTAGTGCCTGGCACAAGACTCAATTGATAATGTTGAGTGAGAGAAAATCTAACTATAGGGATTACAAAGCAGAGAGGGAAAGTCACTTGGCTGTGCCCTGTGAGCAGTGTGAATGTTCTTCCAGCATCCTCCGTACACCCGTGTCTATACCATTTCACATGCATGGGATCCTTTTTATATGTGCAGTCTATATATAATCTCTTTGTTCACAGTAAGATCTGTGCGTTTTTCTATGTCATCCCCCTTCTTATTCTTCTCTTCTAGGCTACTGGCTGCTCCTAAGAAATCCATTATACTTTCTCTCCTCCTAGTTCCGGTTCAGCCTAGAAATTCCTAATATTCTGTCATATTCTACCCACCTTTCAGAATTAAAATCGGGAGAAATATCATCTTTTTCCTGAATCTCCATTTCATTCCCAGGTTTTCCCTCTGGATTTTCTACACTCTGCTCATTCCCCTGTATGCTTCTGTGTGGTGCTGAATTGTGCCCACGGACTTAATTAACTTCAGAACCTCACTGTGCTGCAGGTGGTTCCCTGCCAGGCTGTGTCAGTGTGTGGCCAACTCTGATGACAGGGACCAGATTCTATATGTCTTTGTACTTGGTGCTGAGCAGAGTAAACTCAGTGGGTGAATGCATGAACCAGTGGCTGAAGAAACATACTGGGCCTACTCTACGTCTGGTCCCTGATAGGTTTTTCTAAATACCTTCCTAGTGGGCTTTTAGCTCTCTGAAGGTGGAGACTATTTTGCTTTAGTACCTTCAGTGAAGTTGTTATGTTGAATGGAATGGATTAAACCAAAAAAATCATAGGACTTGAATAGTCTTGGGAGAATTAGGATGGATCAGAGTTTCTCCACTGGTAGAATAAAGGTTGGACCAGATGATCTTTGGAAGCATAGGAAGAGCTATCTTCAGTCCCAGGGTCGAGAGAAAGTTAGTGGCAATTCTGTGTCCTGGCTCCCTGCCACAGTGATTCTCCCTGAAGCTACCCTCTGTCTCCTGTGTCTGATGAGTATCTGAAGCCACTGGATACAGAAGCTTTTTATCAGGGGGCTTTGGAGGAGGCCTGGGTAGCTCTGTGTGTCATTGTCTTAGATTGCTAGCAACCTTACCATTTCCACAGTCCCCTCTGTTACAGAGCCCTGAGAATGCAGCCTGCTCACAAGGTGCCTGCTTTGCCCACAGGCTAAGTACCTGGCCCAGATCATTGTGATGGGGGTGCAGGTGGTGGGCAGGGCCTTTGCCCGGGCCTTGCGGCAGGAATTTGCAGGTAAGTGAGGGCCCTTGTCTCCCCCAGGCTGGGAGCTCCTGCCTGGGTTGGATTTTTCCCTCAGGTTCACCAGCTGTGAATTGCAAAAATCTCTCTTGGGACTGGGGTTCTACAACTTGGATAACCTGGTGCACTTTCCTGTGGTGCCAGATTTTGGGGCATTCTCATATGAGGAAAAGGTTTATCTTCAAGGTGGCCTGGTTAGCCTGAGCAACCTAGGCAGGAATCAATAAGCTGACCTACTGAACTACCTATTTTTGTAAATAAAGTTTTTGTTTGTTTTTTTGAGACAGAGTCTCACTATGTGGCCCTCGGTAGAGTGCGGTGACATCACAGCTCACAGCAATCTCAAGCTCTTGGGCTTAAGCAATTCTCTTGCCTCAGCCTCCCAAGTAGCTGGGACTACAGGTACCTGCCACAATGCCCGGCTATTTTGTTGTTGTTGTTATTGTTGTTTAGCAGGCCCAGGCCAGGCTCAAACCCACCATCCTTGGTGTGTGTGGCCACTACCCTACCCACTGAGCTATGGGCGCCACTCTGTAAATAAAGTTTTATTGGAATACTGCCTCTCCCCCTTCTGCCTTTCCAGACAGTGTTAAGTAATTCCAACACAGACCAGTTGACCTGCAAAGCCTGTTATTTACTACTTGACCCTTTAAGAAGACATTTACCTCTAGTCTGAGGAAGAGTGAGACTCTGTCTCTACTGAAAATAGAAAAAAAAGAAAAGTAGCTGGGTGTTGTGGCTGACACTTATAGTCCCAACTACCGGGGAGGATGAGGCAGGATTGCTTGAGCCCAGGAATCTGAGGTTGCTGTGAGCTATGCTGATGCCATGGCACTCTGTCTCCAAAAAAAAGTTTACTGGCTCTGACTCTGGGGTCTCTGAGAGGGAAGGGTTCTCCCACTCAGCCAACTTTGGTGGTCCTGGCAGGGCCACTTAGACCTCTCTGCACCCACACTTCACTCCAGTCCCCATCGTGACTTAAAGCTCTCCTGGGATGGGGGGAGAAGAGGAACCGGGTCATTGTGTGGTCCTGGTAGGAACCAGGAGCCAGGTTCGATGGTTGCCTTTAGCCTCCCATGGGGCAAGTCTGTCCTCATTTTCCTATCCCCAACCCCCTAAAAAAGAAACCACTCCTGGAGACAGCTCTGTGCTGTGTGTCTCTTCTGTGCCATCTGTCAGGGGTAAGCCACCCACTTGGATGGCCCAGGGGGGACTGTCCTGCTTAGGGCTGAGTGATCACCCCCATGTCCACACAGCCAGCCGGGCAGCAGCTGATGCCCGGGGACGTGCTGGACACCAGTCTGCAGCTGCGTCCAACCTCTCTGGCCTCAGTCTTCAGGAGGCACAGCAGATTCTCAACATCTCCAAGCTGAGCCCTGAGGAGGTACAGAAGGTGAGGCCACTAGGCTACCCCAAACATACCTTACCTGGGCTGGCCAGAAAGGGTGGGGGGCAGGTATACAGGCTCTGGCCCCAGCCAGCTCAGATTCTGACTTGTGTGGTACACACGTGGTTCTCCAGTAGAGGGGTGTGGTCTGCGAGGCCTCTCACCTATCCTCTCTTCCTGTGCAGAACTATGAACACTTGTTTAAGGTGAATGACAAATCTGTGGGTGGCTCCTTCTACTTGCAGTCAAAGGTGAGTGGTTTTTGATTCTGGGATGGGATAAACCACAGGAATCAAGCTCCTCAACCACCTGTCACTTGAGATCCCTCCTTTCCAGGCAGGGGAGCTGGTATTGAGAGTGACAAGTAGGAAGATATGTTGAGGAGGGCCCCGAGTTGCCACCCTCATTTGTTGCATCAGCTCCTCAGGGTTAGCGAGTCAGGCTGTCACCCCCACCAGTGGCCCTGCCAGCCACTGGGGCTTTGAAAGAAAAGGAGCACCAGCTCTTTCTGTTGGCTGGTGTCACAGTATGCTTATATGTGGGGCTCTGTCTCCCTGTGGAGGAGGTGCCACCCCCAGGTCACCTCTTCCACCCTGGGATCTGCTAAAGGAGGTATTTGTATCCAGCCACCACTCTCCAGGGGGAAATCAGCCTGGACCTGGACCTGGGCTGGTAAGAGGTCCAGGTAGGCAAGGGACACAGGGCAGAAGTTCCCACCATCCTGATTGTCTGTGACCACTTCCTCAGGTGGTCCGTGCAAAGGAGCGCCTGGATGAGGAGCTCAGAATCCAGGCCCAGGAAGACAGAGAGAAAGGGCAGAAGCCCAGAACGTGACTACTCGGCTCTCCCCACCTCACCCTGCCACCTCTAATTTATAGCTTGGTAATAAACGTCTGTTCCGCATTTCTCATGTGCATGCATCCAGATTCCAGAAGGCAGGTTGCTCTTCCTGCCGGTTGTAGGGCTGCGTGTACTGGGGGCAGGGAGGCAGCAGCCTCTGACAGCCCAGAGGGGCCAGGGTGGGTGAGGTTGGCAGCCAGCCCAGCCAGCAGGCCCTGGCCAAGTTCTGTCACGTACTGGACAATCGCTCCTGCTTCTCTAGCACCGGCACTAGCACCAGACTACCTTCCTGGGCATCCTGCCAGACACTAGCCCAAGTACCATGCTCACGGCTGCCCCTGCCCCTCCCACAGGGTGGAGGCCTTGGGCCCTAGAACTATATCACAGGCCATTTGTCCCTGGGGCAAGTTTTAATCAAATCTCTGTAATTTGGGCTGAGTGCTCTGGTGTGTGGCTGGGGAAGAGAGACTTTTGACAGCCTCACGGACTGAGGTGCCATGCACTGGAGTTGCAGGGAGCAATAGTGGGACAAGGACTAAAACCTTGTGATGTGTAGTCTGGAACCATCCATCTCAGGTGGCTCAGCTCTTGGCATGTCCACAACACAGAAACCATCTTTGCAACTTTTATTGTTTCTTTATAAACTTCCTCTCACATGGAGGAATATATTGTTATAGTCTTTAGCTTATCTCTTTTTTTTTTTAAACTCTATGCTAACAGCAATTGGAGCCAAGAGGAGGGAAACAAGCTACAATAGAAAGGCACTTAGAACCTGTTAAAATACTGATATCCTGGAATGTGCAACAACAAACCCAACAACACAAAAAGTACACCGGCCTTCTGAGCCTAGTCTGTCACTGAATCACATGCTGAGTTAACGTTCACCTTCCAGTGCCCTCTTCCTCTGCTCTGCTTGAGTCTCAAACCCACAGCCCCTACTGGGGCCTTAAGGCCTAGGTCCCTAACAGGATTTGGGGTGCTTGGGTCTTGGGTGGGGCCTGAAGAAAGGAGACCAGCTCCCTTCTACTTGCTCACAGCCCCTTTGAGGGGCAGAGCCAACAGCCAGTCCCTGTCAGGGCTGGGGTCTTAAGGCCAGCAACAGGGCGGGCCAGGTCAGGGTGACCCCTCTGGGACAGAAGGGCAGTCCAGGAAAGGGTGGGGTGAGCAGAGCTGCTCAGAGAACTGCAGGCTCCAGAGGACCCCACTGTAGCTGGCAGCTCCTTTGTTCTGCAGATGGGCAGGTGAAAGGGATTGGTCACTCTGCAGCCTAGTGACAGGGAGACCTAGAAGCCAGAGCTCCCACCTGGCAAGTGAGTGGGGTAAGGGTGGGGGGGAGGCCCAGGGCAGAGACACTGCTGTGGGATCTAGCAGTGACTGTTAGGCACAGGGACCTCCAGCATCCTTAGGTTATTCTGGCTCCTGCCATGGGCCCTGAGTAGCCCAGACCCTGGGGGAGCTGGCTATGGTGGGGAAAAGAGAAGGGAGAGACACATCTAGGAAAGGGGAAGCTAGAAGCATCCATGTCACGGGCCCAGGTTATTTCCTTGGACTACCCTTCCTGGGTAGAGGGGCCATGTCCAAACATAGGGCCTTCAGTCCACAGCCTCCAGAAAGCTCTTTTCCCTGAGGCTATCCGGTATAGGCAGGCACCTGGTGCTGTCTAGACCAGGCCCAGCTGGGGCAGGGATGTGAAGATGGAACTCAGCCTGGCCCCACTTGCTTTCTGATCCAGTACTAGGCCTGTTGTCAGGTCACCCAGACCCCACAGCTGCCCATATGGCACCTCCCCTCCAATTTAGGGCTCTCTCAGGCCTTCTTCCACACTTCCAGAGTGCTCTCGTGGTGGGGGAAAAGGCCCCAGGGTGCCATCTGCCTGGGCTGGGTGTGTGAGGAGGAGTAGCTGGCAGAGCAGGCCCCCTTCTAGAGCCAGGAGGCACCTTGTCAGGGAGCAGGGAGGCAGCTTCTTCCTGGGGCTTTGCCTGCATCTATCTTACTCTCCCTCTGGAGGATGGGCCAGACGGAAAGGGGTCCAAGGAGCCCCCAGGACAGAGGCTGAGTGAGCAAGGCAGGGGGACAGGGAAGGAGCCCAGTGGCCACAGGGCGGGCAGGTGCCAGCCACCTCTCCCCACTGCTGGGGTGTGAGCCTGTTTCTGCCATCCCCATATGGCAGGTGGGGAGAAGGATGACCTGCCCAGCTTGGTCACTTAATGAGGGAGGCACCAGGGTGGAAGATGGAGAGGGACCCAGGGGTAGGGGAAGATTGTAAAGAAGCTATGGGACAGGAGGGCCTGAGAGGAGCAAGGCCTCAGCACCCAGAGCACAGCTCCTTGGGCAGCAGGTCCAGGTCCCCACTAGGGAGCCAGCAATGACCTTCTAGCACCATCCTTGCTGCCCTGCAGGCTGGGGCTGGGGCTGCCTGGGGAGCACAGCCAGCCAACCCCAGGGCAGTAGGACATTATTGCTATTTCGCAGAGAGTTTCTGTTCGTCGAGGCAGGGCCAGGAGTTGCTGGCTGGGCTGCCACAGCTGTCCATAGGAGACTTAGTTCACCACAGCTGGTTTGAGCAGCACAGATCCTGGTGGGATGACCACCCAGCCAGGGGCCAGTGCCTCTGGGCTGCTAGTCGCCGAGCTGACGCCTGTGGACAGGTCCAGTACAGTGCCTGGCAGCAAAGGGAGTCCGTCTGGGCTAGGTCGGGAGCAGCTGCTCTCCGTCCTTTCAAGGGGTGTCTTGCGACCCTCCATGTTGAGGGCCCTCGTGGGCACTAGCCCACGCCCCTTCTCTCCCTCGGCCTTGCCCCCAGCGGAGCCAGCAAGTAGGGAGACCACAGGCAGACCCAGTCCACCAGCCCCAAAGGGCGAGGGCAGCAGTGGGTTCTTGGCCAGATTGAGGGGTAGGACAGGGCCTGGCAGCCCAGGACCCATTCCCCCACCACCCCCACTGCCCCCACCATTGCTACAGGCTAGGGCACTGAGGTCGAGGGGGCCAGGGGCCAGGGGCAGGGGCAGGCCGGGCAGGCCAGGACCTCCGAAGAGGGCAGCAGGATTGGGGATGATGATCTGGGCCCCACTGACGTAGGGGCTACCGTCAGGAGTGGGCAGTGGTGGTTTGGGGGGAGGACGCAGCTGCAGGAGCTCCTGCTGCTCATGGGACACGAAGTGACCATGGGCCTTGATGTGCTTGCGCAGTGAGCTGGGGTCCGTGTAGCGCTTGTGGCAGCCAGGCATCTTGCAGTAGTAGGGCTTGTCCACATAGTGAGTGCGCGTGTGCTTGAAGCGGTCACTTGAGTTGGAGTAGCGCTTGTTGCAGCCCTCATAGGGACAGACGTAGGGTTTCTCACCTGAAGAGTGGTGCAATGTCGCCATGAGGGTCCTCACCCCCTCCCAGGGTTCCCCACCCTTACACTCAACATCCTCCAGGCCAAGACCAAAAGAAACACAAGCTCCCCCATGTTGGGGGGTAGTATCCCCAGCACCTGGCAGGAGATCTGGCCCTAGGTGGGGGCAGCAAGACATGCACCTAAGAGCCCAGCCTAGGCAGCCCTGTTCTACCATGGCCTTGCCATGTACCTCTGCTACACACAGTGTTCTCAACGGTGGAACACAAGCTTGGAGATCTGTCAGACCGGGCGCCTGGCAAGGGCTTGGCCATGGGGCATCTGCCTGAGTGCCAACTGCCCTGCATTTGGCCCTTATACAACCCAAAGGCTCAAGACTCACTGAGCATCTGTTGCTGCACTGGACAAAGCAGGAGCCACATGTGGCCACTGAGCCTCTGGAACACAGCTCTGTAAATGGAGATGTGCCATGAAGCTGTAGCACGAACCAGAGCAGGAAAGCCCACATCAGATTCCAAAGACTTTGTATGACACAAAAAATGTTAATGCCTTATTGATTTGTTTTGTTTTTTCATAAGCTCAGAATCATTGCTTTGTTTTTAATATTGAAATAACACTGGATATACTAGATTCAATGAACTATATTATTAAAATTAATTTCACCTATTTTTTTTCGTTCCTTTTTATGTGTGATTAGGAAATTTAAAGTAAGACTGTGTGAGGGCCGGGTGCAGTGGGTCACACCTGTAATCCTAACACTCTGGGAGGCCAAGATGGGAGGATTCCCTGAGCTCACAGGTTTGAAACCAGCCTCAGCAAGAGCGAGACCCCCATCTCTAAAAATAGCCGGGTGTTGTGGCTGGTGCCTATAGTCCCAGCTACTCGGTAGGCTGAGGCAGGAGAATTGCTTGAGTTTGAGGTTGCTATGAGCTATGACGCCATGGCACTTTACTGAGGGCGACAAAGTGAAACTATCTCAAAAAAAAAAAAGTAAGACCATGTGGCTGGGCATGGTGACTCACACCTGTTATCCTAGCATTCTGTGAAGCCAAGTTGGGTAGATTGCTTTAGCTCAGGAGTTTGAGACCAGCCTGAGCAAGAGTGAGACCCTGTCTCTACTAAAAATAGAAAAACTAGCCAGGCATTGTGGCTGATGCCTGTAGTCCCAGCTACTTGGGAGGCTAAGGCAAGAGAATTGCTCAAGCCCAAGAGTTTAAGGTTGCTGTGAGCTATGATGCCATGACATCAGGATGACAGAGTGAGACTCTCTCTCAAAAAATAAATAAAATGGGCAGTGCCTGTGGCTCAAAGGAGTAGGGCACTGGCCCCATATGCTGGAGGTGGTGGGTTCAAACCCAGCCCTGGCCAAAAAATGCTAAATAAATAAATAAAATAAAAGTAAGACTATGGCCCCATTACCAGGGCTGCTCTACTGTGAGCTCAGGTGCCAAGAGGAGTGAAGCAGACACAGCCTGCTGAGGTGGCATTAGACAATAGTACAGATAGTGGCCATGCTCCAAGAGCACATGCTGGGGTCACACCCATAGGACAGGTGTCCCCAGCAAGCAGCACTTCAGAGGGGACCACCAGCCACCAAGGTTTATCCCTCACCTCTGAGGCCCAGGCCTTCCTTAGAGTCCTCTGCTCCCTGGGGGCCTGCCTGGCCCAGCCTGGCTGAGCCATCCCTCCCCAGCCGAGGCACCCCTAAGTGGCCCACGTTGCCCAAGAGGCCTCACCTGTGTGTGAGCGATTGTGGATCTTCAGGTTCTCCAGGCGAGAGAAGCTCTTGTTGCAGGTGGGGCAACGGTGCGGCTTCTCGTTGGTGTGTGTGCGGATGTGGATGAGCATCTTGTACCTGCTCAGGTGGGGACAGTTCAGCTTGTTGGAGGCCTGAGCCCCAGCTCCTCCCTCCTCCCCTCACCTGATGTCAAGTCCTCACTCCTCCCCCTCTCCAACCTCACCTGGCATTGAAACCACGGCCGTGGCGGGCACAGCCCTCCCAGTGGCAGCAGTACCCTGCATCCTTCTCAGGCTTGACATGGTAGTCATTGACATGGTCCACCAGGTCTTGCAAGAGCTCAAAGAGCTGGTTACACTGTGGGGCCAGGGAGGGATCTTAGCCCATGTGGGGGTGGCCTGCCTTGGACCCACACCACTTACCTGGCCCCCACTCACCTTGGCCCATCGACACACCAGCTGCTTGGGCAGTGGCAGCTCTGGCGAGAGGCACTTGTCCTTGGGGGAGGTGAGGAAGGAGGAAGTAGGCAGGTGCAGAGTCCCTCCGGAGCCCAGGGGTAGGAAGAACTGGAAGGAGCTAGGAACACCGTCCAAGTAGCGCAGTGGCTGGAAGTCCTAGAAGTGAGGACACAGCTGTCAGGGCCCCAGTGAAACAGCAGGCCTGGCCCTCCTACCCTCTTCCTGTGATGAGTTACATGGTGTCCACCAAACAGTCACATTGGGATCCTACACCATCCCCTGCCCCATACCTATACATGTGACCTGACTCAGAAATAGGGTCTTTGCAGATGTAATGAAGTTAAAACGAAGTCATCCTGGATTAGGGTGGGCCCTAAATCCAGGGACTGGCGTCTTTGTAACAGAAATAAGAGGAAAATGTGGACACAGAGGCACACACAGAAGGAAGAAGCCATGTGTACCACAGCAGGAATGCCAAGGACACCAGAAGCCAGGATAGAGACAAAAATTCTTCCCTAGAAACTGAGGCAGCATGGCCCCACTGATAGCTTGATTTCAGACTTTAGCTTCTGGAACTAAAGAGAAATGTATGAGAGAATACATTTCTATTGTTTAAAGCTGCTCATTTGGTGGTGCTTTGTTACGGCAGCTCCAGAAAACCAGCAACCTTCTCTCTGAAACCTCCCCCCTCCTTACCGGAGCAGCAGACACTGGGGGCAGGTCTCCACTGCCCTGGCGCTCAGGTGACAGTGAGCTACTGCCGTTGGGGGAATCCAGCCCAGATGGTGGGGACAAGCTGAGGTCCACTAGAGGGGCTGTTGAAAAGCGTCCTTCTACCTTCTCGGGGAACTTGGGGTTCAGCAGGAAACCTAAGAGAGAGACATGAACCAGGGAGTGCTGGGGCTGAGGTGCTAGCAGGTGAATCCCCATTATGACCCTGGGAACAGACACCAGCCCCAAGTCACCCAGGACTACCCTCAGATCCCAGGTATTGGAGGAGCAGCCTGTATAGCTAACAAATAAGATGACCTTGCCCATCACATTTGATCTTTACTGCTGAGAGAGCTTAGCCACTTATAAGACAGGAAGTGCCCATTTTGTAGATGGGAATAGCCTGGCATACAGAGTGAATAACAGAATAGAACATGAACCCAAGACTGCGCACAGTGGCTCGCACCTGTAATCCTAGCACTCTGGGAGGCGGAGGCAGGTGGACTGCCTGAGCTCACAGGTTCAAGACCAGCCTGAACCAGAGCAAGACTGTATCTCTAAAAATAGCCAGGTATTGTGGTGGGTGCCTATAATCCCACCTACTTAGGAGGCTGCGGCAAGAGAATTTTGAGATTCAGTCTCAAAAAAAAAACCAAAAAAGAACTTGAACCTGGGGCCCCTGGTATACTGGCAGGTAGGGACCTTTCTAACTTTGCCCAGGCCCCTTCTTGCCTCAGTGCTCCCTTTTTCAAATTGGGAGATTTGGGCTGGACTGTTTCCAGAGCCTTCCAGCATAGACATTTGATAAACATCTTGGAGGGTTTTCAGGGTCCTCTTGGAGGCAGAGCAAAAGGGGTGAACAGTGGCCTGGGCTAGAATGGCAAGCATCCCCTGAAAAGCACTTGCTGAGCTGGGTCCCCAGTCTATTGCCGTGGTTTGCCAACCACACTGCCTCAAAGCCCAGGGGTTGAGATCATGGGACCTCTACTACTTCTGGGACCCCCTGCTCTCCTTACCAGCTGCTCCAGATCCTCCTCCAGGGCTCAGTTTGAATCCTGGCTCTATATGCCAGGCCTGTGAACTACTTCCCACAAAGATAATACTGGTGAGAGGATGAACAGACAAGTGTGGGAACTGAACCATGAACCAGAAGCTTGGGGGCCAGGAGATGTGGCTACCAGTGGACACACCTTGGCTATTCTTCCTTTTTACCATGGCTGGATCAGGGCTTAGTCCCCTGCCCTGCCTGGGGTAGTACCTGAGGGCGGGGAGCCTGGGGAGCCAGGCGTGGGGCTGTCATCCACCAGGCCAAGCTCCCTGTGCACAGCACGGGGCCGGACCACACCCAGTGTCCTCTCCCTCTTTTCTCTTGCTGCTCGGAGCTTGGTGATGCTTAGTTTCAGGTCAAGTGGCTCGTCCAATGAGTGCATGGTGATGGAGCTGGGGTTGGAGGTGGCAGCAGGCTGTGAGCAGCAGCTGGTCTTCAGGCAGGAACCTGGGAAATAACAGGAGTTTTGCTGTGACACTATAACCCCAGGCTCCTCCTCAAGGTGCACGCGTTAACGGCCACAGGAGCAGGGAGAGATGGTATGAGACTGTCTTCCTGGGAAAGGAGACCTCTTAGTGGCCTGATCAGCAGATACCATGGAGAGCCTACCTACTCAGAGGTTCCACATGTACTTCCTTTGAGTCTTTAACAGTGGCAAAGCTCATAGTCTTCCATTTTGCCTGAAACTGAGTTTTAGCCTCAGGTCACAGAGCTAGGAAGGGGCAGAGCCATCATATTCAATACTGAAGGCCAGATCTTCCTAGAACTGGCCAGCTGAGTGTGGGCCTGGAGACACAAAACCAGGCCAGGGGAGGAAGGTGGCCATTTCACAGGAGGCCGGGCATTCATGTTCCTGGCAGGCAGCTATGATCCCCTCAAGGAAACCAGCCTCACAGGAGGAATTGGGCACATGCTGGAGACCTCCCCGCCTCCCTCCCAGAGGAGGCCTGTGGGAGAGGCTTCAGGAGCCCCAGGGCTCTCAGCCACCACCAGGGGGCAGCTGGGGACTATAGCCCAGCCAGGCCAGAGGGGGCAGGGCTGGAGGGTAGACCAGCTGTCTGGTGGTTAATTAAAAGTATACATTTATTAATTTTTACTGGTGATGATATTCTTTTATTATAAGTTCTTGTGTGTAATTTTCATCATTTTCTTACAATTTATTACTGCTGTGATTTTCATGTATAAATGAACTGTATCCACTGACCCAAGAACAAGGTCAACTCTTCATTTTAAACCCAAACTTCTTTACATAACAGCAATCTTTCCACGTGCAGTGGAGCAATGCATGGTATTGCCTCATATTTGCTCACTGAGCTTATTACACCTCTGCCAATCTCTCTCTCCAAGTATCTCTCTGCCAATCACTACATCCAGGTCTTTATTTATTTTGAGACAGAGTCTCACTATGTTGTCCTTGGTAGAGTGCTGTGGCGTTACAGCTCACAGCAACCTCTAACTCTTTTTTTTTATTTTTGCAGTTTTTGGCGAGGGCTGGGTTTGAACCCTCCACCTCCGGCATATGGGGTCGGAGCCCTACTCCTTTGAGCCACAAGGAGCCACCAGCAACCTCTAACTCTTGGGCTTAAGTCCCAAGTAGCTGAGACTATAGGCACCTGCCACAATGCCTGTTTTTTGTTGGAGTTGTCGTTGTTTAGCTGGCCCATGCTGGGGTTCAAACCCGCCAGCCTGGGTGTATGTGGCCAGTACCCTACTCACTGAGCTACAGGCATTGCCCCAGGTCTTTACAATTTAATACAAAAGAGTGGACATAGCCACCACATGGTTAAGATCCTTCGGTTATTTCATCTGTGTGTCTGTCTCTGCGGGAGCTGTTGTATGTACTCAATGAGTAAACTGAACTGCCTGGGATGCTCTCAATGGAGCAGCAGAGGAAGACAGCCCCCACATCCCCATTCTTCAGGCTTCCACCCTCAGCAGTTTCATCCAGTCTTCACTTGGTTCTGAGCCCCATGAGCTCAAACTCTGGGGAGATGCTTCACGCACACAGGAAACAACACAGTCCCCTCCTTCAATGGAGAGCCTTTCTTTCTGGGGACACATCCCAAGATCCCACCTGCGCATGGCTTACATGGGAGTATCTGAGCACAGGGAGGCTGCCACCTGCACCATCAGAACACAGGCCACTGTGTTGGCCTGTGGGACCCAGCTCTGTGACTTATCCTATTGGAGCTGTCAAATCTGTTTGGATTTGCCACCTCAACCCCCACCAAGACCCCTGCCAGCAGGTAGGTGGGTGATTGACAATGATGGATGAACTTGGACCCTCCACTGTTCCTCTGGCTGGGCAGGGAGCTGCCCTCTGCCTGACCCCTCCCTCATTATGTCTGTCTATCTGTGTGTCTGCCTGTCCTTCTACCTGTTTATTTTTAGATACAGGCCCAGTCTAACCTCCCTGAAGCTCCTCTGTGCTGGGAGCCTGGAAGGGGAGGAAGGAAGTAAATATTTATGCTGATTAAGAATTCAGGAGCCAGGAAAGGCTGGTGGCCTGGTCCCTTGGCTGGCCCAGGGCCACAGGCCTTCCCACAGCCTCTGTCCCCACCCCACCCCCACCCTTCCGGAGAAGAGGACCACAAGGGCAGGATGGTTTGGGAACTGGGAATTCCAACTGACACAGACTACTGGCAAGGCTGCCTAGGCAACATCTTTTGGCACCTGCCCGGCTGCCCTCCCCCAGGCCAGAGGGGGAGTAAGCAGAGCCAGGAGCCCTGGGTCACCTTGTTCTTGGGGCCTGCAGGAGACACTGCTTCCACCTAGAACTATCTCCCAGGGTGGGGCTGGGCACAGTGCCCAAAGGAGAAGGAAGTATTCTAATACCCCCCCTTAATCAGCAGGCCCAGTCCCCAGGGAGTCCCCACATACTTCCTGTGACTGGGTTCTGGCAGGGAGGCAGGGGTTCATTCCAGTGAAAGCCAGAGCCCAGCCCAAGGCCTGCTTCCCCCTCCTAGGAAAGGAGGAAAGCACTGCTGCGACACCCACACCTCCCAGGACCCCCACCTAGGCCAGCCACACCCCAGAGGGAAGTGGCCTATGACCGCACTCCTGTTCTGATCTTGGCCAATCTCAGAGTACCCCCTGCCACTTGGTCCCCAGCTGGCAGCAGCCAGTCTGGGCTCTGCTCTGCTCTAGGTTCAGGGCTGGGTGAAGGAGGCAACTGAGAGCCAGGTTAGTGCTTTCCTGAAAGCCTGGCTCAGCACCTGTAGCTCAAGCGGCTAAGGTGCCAGCCACATATACAGAGCTGGTGGGTTCGAATCCAGTCCGGGCCTGCCAAACAACAATGACAGCTACAACCAAAAAATAGCCAGGTGTTGTGGTGGGCACCTGTAGTCCCAGCTACTTGGGAGGCTGAGGCAAGAGAATCACTTAAGTCCAGGAGTTGGAGATTGCTATGAGCTGTCATGACACGGCACTCTACCCAGAGTGACAGCTTGAGACTCTTGTCTCAAAAAAAAAAAAAAAAAAAGCCTGAGTTTGGCCACCAGTCCCTGATTTAATGCTGCTACAAAGAACATGGACAGCAACTCTCCAAAGGGTGAGGCAACAACCAGCCTTATTCTGAGAAAGGGCAGATGAGCCCACCAAGTGTGGCCCCAGGGGTCACTCAGCAGGACATTACCACCCCCTTAGCCTCATGGCAGATTCTCTGGTGCCTCAATTTCCCTGCTGGTTAGAAGACAATGTACCTGGCACCCCGCTCACATATTGTGGAGTTCAAAGACCCCACCCCAGAAGGGAGCGGCCCCCACCACCAGGAGAGAGCCCGGTGTTCCTGCAGCTGCAAAAGGAACTAATTAGAACAGAGCAGCGGGAAGAGGAAGCGCGGGGGCGACAGGACCACCAGAGTGGTGGGAGCTGGGGTGACTGGCCTGGCCCTCCTCCCACCACTGGCAGAGGTCACCCACCCGCAGGGTGGGCTGGGCAGCCCCCCTGCTAGCAGGACAAGACAATGGCTGCTATTGTGCTGGGCCCAGCAGAGGGCCCCCAGCTGCAGCCCTAGCACTGCCTACCCCTACCCCCAGGTAGGCTAAAGAGACCACCCTTCTGACAGGGAGGCTGGCAGATGCCCAGCACTCTCGGGGAAACTGAGGCCCAGAAAAGACACAGACTCCTCCCAGCCACCTTGGCCTGGAGTGGGACACACATAAGAAAGGGTGTGAACATAACAGTAGACATGACTATCTGTCCATGAGTTCACAGAGTCCTCTACAACTCCTCTTGTAAGTAGCTGCTGTCATTTCCCTGTCACACAGATTAGGACACGGAGGCTCATCGTCACCAGGCTAATAGGGGGCAGGCAGGAATCCTCTCCTGGATAAAGCCTGTAGGACTGTGGCTGGCTAGCCTGAGCCAGGAGGCTGCATGTCAGTGGAGGTGCAGAGTGGGCTGGTGGGGAGGGCTGTGTATACCCACCCTGACCACGCAGAGTCTCCTTGGTGGCTGTAGAGAGAAGACAGTAACCTCCATAAGATAGGGGATTGGGGCGGCACCTGTAGCTTAAAGGAGTAGGGTGCTGGGGTAGTGGGTTCAAACCCAGCTCTGGCCAAAAACTAGAAACAAACAAACAAACATAAGATAGGGGCTTGATCCTGGCCCCACACAGCAGTGTTGTTGAGGACTACCCCCTTATTCCTAGGGTAGTCTTAAAATCGCCCTTTTGGTCAGCTGTGGCCTATCTAGCCTAGGACAAGGTCCCAAGGTGAACCTCAGTAGTCCACGTGGTGGGCTTATCGAATGAAAAGGGGAGGCTGACCTGCCTCCCAGCATACTAGTCAGCTAAGCCCTGCTCCATGAATAACCCCAAATCTGATGACTGAGGGCCAGAGAGAGGCACCTGTCCCAGGCTGAACAGGGTGGCAAGCCCAGAACTGGAAACATGCATAAATATCCTGACAGCACCCAGGGCCAGTTGTTGAATCTGGTGCGTGCCAGCACCTGGTAAGGCAGATGCCATTTCATCCCCATTTTACAGATACAAAAACTGAGGCTCAGGGAAATTATGTGACCTGTTCACACAGCTTGTCTGTGATACAGTTGGTTTAAATCCCAGGTGAGTCCAGAAGCCATGTCCCAAATAGCTCACTGTGCCAATGGACATGGGGAGGGGCCTCCAGAGGAGCTCAGGCCTTGGGACTGCCCAGGGACTTGGGCTGGGTACATAGCCTAGGAGGGCAGACCCGCAGGCACTGAGTGGGCACCAGAGGGGCTGGCTGTGGGTGGGGTCACCAGGAGGCTTGGAGCACTGAGGGCAGACAGGCTGCCAAAGCAAACGGCCAGCAGCCCCACATTCCTGGGAACTGGCTGCGGCTCCCTGCCCAGTCCAAGAGCTCCACCCTCCTGGGCCGCCCAGCACTGGGGGCTGGAGAGTAAGGGAGGGCCTGCTGGGGGACCCTGGCAGGCCTCATCCTCTCAGGATCCCCTCCTGCCCAGGT